TATTCATATTATTTTCAAAGACCAATACATTTGGACTCAATGATTTGGGATCATTACTCTTTTTCTTATTATTTGTTGCAGATTTTCGTTTCACATTTTTGGGAGTAAATTTATAATAAGGATATACTTTCTTGTGAATCCTTTTGGCCAAATCAGCCAACCGATTGTAAAATTCTTTGACTTCACGTGATTCGTCGTTCCACAATTGAGCAGCAAGGGAAGAAATTCCTTTCACACCTAAACCTAATAATTGATTATGTAAATTCGCTGATAAATTCTTACGATATAAAAGAAATCTATTTTGAGGACGAGGAGGTTTGCCAGGTCTAGAACGTTGAGATATACAAGTTACTAATTCTTCAATAGTTTTTGAAGTAGGAATGATGATTGGAAAATTAGGAAGAGCTTCTTGAACCATTCTTGATACAATTTCTCTTATTTGATCATTAGTATATTGTATAATTTGTTGTTGTTGTTGTTGTTGTTGCTGTTGTTCTTGTAATTGTTGCGATGTTTGTAATTGTTGAGATGATTGTAATTGTTGCGATGATTGTAATTGTTTCGATTGTTGTAGTTGTTGCGGTGATTGTAGTTGCTGTGAACGTAGGTGAGATAGTTGTGATAGTTGTGATAGTCGTGATAGTTGTTGTGGTTGAGATTGTTGTGAAGGTTGTTGTGATAATCGTTGTTGTTGTTGTTGTTGAGGTTGATGTTGTAAATGTTGTGGTGGTTGAGATTGTTGTTGTTGTAAATGTTGTTGTTCGAAAGTGGATTGAAAGATTTTATCATTATCATTATCCAAACAAGGAATAACTGTACATTGAGATTTTGATGAATCAAAGATATTATTGTACCAAAGATTACTTGCGTAAAAATTATACATATTTCAAAACAATAAAAACAATATATTTTCAATCTTATGAATTATTTTTTTATTTTATCAGTTTTAAAGACAATGTGTTCATGTGTGTGTGTGGAAAAAGAAAAAATTAAAAATTGTCAAATAACCAGAAATTTTGAATTTTGATTTAAAATCCCATGATCGCAATGATTGATATTCACATTTTTCCTAAAATATTAACTAAAATTAATAATAACTACTAAAATCATTGCCATCTTTTTTATAAGATTTAAATTCTAACTTTTTAAATCTTCTATCACTTATATATATTTACTTTTTATTTACTTTTTTTTTTTAATCTTATTTACTGTGCACGCGCATATACTAAATATATATATATAGATGTAGATATATATAGATATAGATAGATATATATATATGAAAATCAACAAAAATTTATGAATGTTGCATTGCATATAGTAAAATATAGTAATTATAGTAATTGTCTTATTATAGATATTTTATGTAATGTATTAGAAAATTTACAAACGAAGATTTCGAAGTGGTTTCTTTTTTTTTTTTTTTTTGACGAACTCAATCAATTAGTTAATTTAATTAATTGCTCAAAAAATAAAATGAAATGATTAAAAATTAATATTCGATAAACTATGTTAAAAGATATGTTTAAGTTATATTTTTAAGTTAAGGATGATCCACAAACCGAATTTATGGTTGTTATTAAAATTAGATCGACATGATTGAGCGGATGAAATAATAATTTGAATTTTAGGATAAGATGATTAAACTTATTAAAACTTGTTATTGTTGAATTTATCTATGATAAGTTTTATAAAGTT